TTGGCTTCTCGCACATTGGGGACTCTCATTGTAGGTCATCTGACGAGACAAATTGTGTATCCCTTTAGGCAGCAACTTGTATTCCACAGTTTCTATTCTTAATAAAATTTCAGAATTTTTGGAGAACCAAGTGATACATACAATTGCTGAGCAAAAGAGCTTTGAAGTCAGTAGTTAAAATAACTTTGCTAATATTGCATACCTTGTGATGCATCATCTCTAAATCCTAGTTGCCTCATCTGTTTAAAAAAAAAAGTGCTTCCTCTGGTCGATGTGAAAGGTAGCGTGCTCGGCACGGTGGTTCCGCTTTGTATGCTGTGGTGTTCTGGCAGAGTGGGTTGAATGTGTACTTTTGACATGCGGGTGTGTTTGGCTCAAGTGTTACTGTACCTGGTGGTGTAGTGCCTGCACTAAGTCTGTCCGTCCTCAGCTTTGCCCATCTCACGTCTCTCCTCCTCGTGACTTCCCTCATCTTTCTTTAACGCTCCTCATCTGTAACTCCCCTGTTCTTGTTGCCCTTCCCCTCTAATTTTTTTTTTTACCCTGAAAGAAAGACATCACTGACTGTGGATCTCACTGGAAGAGCTCCCTGCCATGGATTCCTGTCTCCTAGCCAGGAAGGAAGGTAGATGGAAGTAGGGGAGAATGTGCTGTGTCCAGCCAGGTCAGAGCTCTGAGATAAAGGTGCCTCATTCCAGTGGCGCTGGAGGGCAGACAGGGTGGCCAGAAGAGCCAGGTTAGGGGTGTAAAGTCTGACTGACTTGTCTTGGGGCCTGAATCTAAACACCCTCGGGGGACTTTCGGAACTGGACTCTTCTGGCCTGGTGGAAGGGCACTGGGTTTTCAACTGGATACATTAGGGTTCGTGTCAAAGATGTTTTCCTGTCTCTATAATCCTTAAGAGCAGAAAAACAGACTGGACAAAACAAGGCTTTCACAGTGAGAACAGGTTGTATTCAAATTGGAATACCTTTGAACAAGTAGAATCTGATTGTGACAGCAGTAAATTTAACCCGGGAAGCGGAAGCTGATCTCTCTCTCTGCCCGTGAAGCTGACGCACATGAAGACTGGAAGTGCTTTTCTAATAGAATAATAGAGCTGGTTTCCAATTGAGAAAAAAACCCCAATATTTCCACATAGATGCATACATTCAAAAAACACCTTTCCAGCATTATCAAACCGGATATGAGTTTGTTTACAGATCGATTTTTTTTTTTTTTTTTTTTTTTTTTTGTGGTACCGGAATTCAACTTGGAACCTTGTACTTGCCAGGCAGGCCCTTACCCCACTGAGCTAGCTCCCCGGCCCTCAGATTGATTCTCAAGAATGCGTATGAAGGTATTTATAAGTACTTGTTATTCTCACACCTCAAAAACATATTTTTTTGTAGCTGGAAAAATTGTGCACAAATAAAAGGTTTTGATGATGATGCTGAAAATGAATACTAATTTTGTAATTTTATTAGCAAAATGGCCTTCATTTTCAGTCTTTTATTTTATGTTGGTGCTTATTTTTAAAACCTCACTTTAATTTTATCTGCAAAATAATACAAAAATGATTGATTTTACATTTGTTTGTTTGTTTATTTATTTATTTATGGTACCAGGGATTGAAGTCAGGACCCTGTGCTTGCCAGGAAGGCACTTATTCTACTGAGTTATCTCCCTGACCCACTACAAATTTATTTATTATGGGTATTAAATTTTTGTGTTTAGATACAGTAAATACTTGGTTTCAGTGATACTTAACACTTTTAAGTAAAATACTAGTGTTGCTATCCAAATTAAGCCTTTGCGTGCGATGCTGGTGCTGCATGGTCGCCGAGGCGTGCTTGAGCTGACAGAGGACTCTGCCAGATGGAGGGAGCTGTGGAAGTACATTCTAGGCAGAACTTTCCAGATAAGAAACAGCATAGCGACTGTGCACATCTGAAAGAAAAGGTGAGGAGAGTGGAGTGGAAGAGAAAGGGCTGCGCGAGGGGCTGTGGCGGGCTGTGGCTGGCAGCTGGCTGGAGGGGCTTGGGAGCCCCGAGAAGGGCTCAAGTGTGGGGCTGGCCAGACAGATTTGCACGTTAGAAGGACCATCAGGCTGATAGTGACTGTTAGGTAAAGCAAGCTAGTTACTACATTCCGATGAGTAGGATAAGTCAGAGACAGTAAGTTGGATTAAAAAAGAAGATTAGAGAAATATTTAGGAAGAAGCATTCACCAGCCATGGTGCTGGCCTTGCGTGAGCATCTGTGTGGATGTGGTAGCAGGCACTGGATTAGGGACCAAAGGGACAGCTATTCAGACAGGAAGATGGTGGCTTCATTTCTGCAGACTCCGTGGGGCAGAACTCCACCAGGCAGACATAGAGGCTTCGAGAAATCTGGGGAGTGGGTGTCCATTTTAGAACATGGTCAACATTGAGATGAACATTAAAGTTCTAAGAGTGGGTGGAAAACTGTGGTTAAAGGAAAATCAGGAGAGGGTGGTGGCATAGACATCAGGAATTAAGTAAGGGTGTCTCCAGAAAAGGCAGTAATCTCCTGTGCCAGAATTTATGGGTCGTTTGGAGTAAGGTGAGCACCAAGAGCACCACTTGTTTTGATTTGAAAGTAGTCATTGGTGACCACGCGCCAAAAGGCACCTCGCTCAGGGTTTCTCAGTGGAAGACAGGAAATGGAGGCCAGCTCATTAGTTCTGAGGAGTGATCAGGAGTTAAGGGTAAGCTGTCTAATGCAGGGGAGGAGCCTTCAGCCCAGTGGTGGTGGTATGAGTGTGTGAAAGACGGAGCTCAGGACATCATTCCTGGAAAGGTAGAACAAGCAGAGACCAGGTTGTCGTGGAGAATGGGCTCTGCCTTTTAGGAAGAAGGAAGCAAGGGTGGCTGCAGGTAAATTTGTGTGTGGTAGTGGGTAATGGTGAGGTTTGCTTTTGAACTGGCTGATTTTCTCTGTGATGTAGATAGCATTGTCATTAGCTGAGTTTGAAGAGAAAGTAGACGTGAGAGCTTGAAGGAGGACAGGGCATGTGTGAAGCACTAGCTCTGCAGAAGCAGAGGAAGGGAGGCGCCCGGGAAGCACTTGCGGACCACAAGAGGTGAGTGCACTGAACAACTGGTAACAGCCCTGTGTTTCTGCGAATTTGTCCAGCAGAGTAGCAGTCCCACCTTCCCTCCCTGCGATAGAAAAGGTGTTGCTTGAAGAGGTTTTAGGGTTGGGCTTCAGTGGAGGCTGTGAGGTACGAGGAATGGCCTGTAGAGGCCAACGTGCTCGCTCGTCTTTGATGTATCCACTGTTGCTCTGTGCTGCTATATTAAAATGTCCTCTGAGGTTGTTTAAGTATATTAATTAAAGCTCTTTGCTCCTTAGCAAATGGCCCCAGACTGCTGTCTTGTTTTTCTTTAAGTTCTTGTCCGCTTTTTTATACTATTTCTGTCTCCTCCCCTCTGTTTTCTTCCCTGTCGTCAGTTGTTCTATCACATTGCTGTCTGCATGCAAGTCTCTCCCAGCCCTACACCCCGGACTTTGTCAGCATCTGGACTTGTCACACCTCTGAATAGAGCCGTGGGCTTGAAGACCTGAGAGCCGAGCTTGTTAGAGTTGTGTGCAAAGTAAGAGTACACACCTGAGTGTGATTCGCGTGTGCTGTGCTTGAGGGCGCGCATAAGTGTCTGTACCTGAATCTCGTGACGTGTATCGGGTTGTTTCTCGGTTGTTCATATGAGATGTTTGTTGCCTGAACTTCCATTGTGTTTTTTTCTTATTTTGAACTTCCATGGACTATAATATTCTTAGAGAGCCTTCAATATTTATGATCATCATTTTTCTAATCATGCTTTAATACTTGCAAAGTATTTTTATATACATTATCTAAAAAGCTTTAAAGTCACATGATTAAACACATGGTGCTGCTCTTCATTATTATTCTCATGGATTTTCAAATGCTTGTATATTTTGTATGGAAATAACATGTATTCTCAAATATTTATGCATTTTGTATGCAAATAATGTATCATTTCACAACTTGGTCATTTAGCCATGTCACATGTAAATGAAATAAAGCAACATAAGGGACATATTTTGGAAAAATAAGTTATTTACTACCAGTTTTCATTTCTGTGTTGTGTGAACTTGCTCATCGTGAACATGTCATGCACATATCAACAATTTTAATGTTTTAACGAAGTATATACTTGGATGCCCAGGAAATACCACATTGACATTTTCTATCAGTTACTTGAATTTTGATTTCCACTTTCCTTCTTGTGGGACGGAAGGTCAGCTCCACGTCTGTCATTTGGGGACTCTTTTCCTACCCCCTCAGTTATACAGAGGTGGAGCATGGGCCCCTGAGTGCGTGGAGGAGGGGCCAGCCCCAGGGCTCTCCCATACCAGTTACCCAGGAGGATCCCACTGTCCCAGGCCCACTCTCTGAATGCTCTTTGTGCCCACTGCCTGGGAACTGCTGGGCTCCTGCTCCTGCCTCTGGGCCCCTGAAGGCCTTCCCCGGGGACTTCCCCGCCTCACACGGGGTACGTGGTTCAGGGCTACTCAGTCCTTCTCTTACATATCCTGCTCTTGTCTCTAACCCAGGATCATCACAGTCAGGGAAACCTCTCTCCTCAAACTCTGTGCTCAGTAGGTTTAGGATGTTTATTTTAAACAAAAGCTAAAAAACCTTGCCTGAGACAAGAAAGTACACACAGTGTTGCCCATTACAGTTGTGGCCCCAGAGATAAAAAAAACAGATTTCTTTTAGAAATCACTGTAGAATGGTAAGTTAAAAAGTAGTAAAAACTTACCAGGCCATCTCTGTTTGTGTTACCTCTTTTGGAAGGAAAGCTGTGTGGCTTTTGTTTTTATACCTTGGTGAGGCCTACTAATGTTTATTAAACTTGCCTACATTTTATTGATAGGGAGTAATTTCTGAGTGATCTTAAATGTTGAGCAGAATCTTAACATTTTCAAGGGTTAGTAAACTCTCTAATTATCTTTTCTCTTATTCTACCTAAGAACACTGGAACTATTTTGGGGCTGATGAGAATCTTGGTCCAGTGGCTGTGAGCATCCGAAGGGAAAAACCAGAAGAAATGAAAGAAAATGGATCTCCATACAACTACCGCATAATTTTTAGAACTAGTGAGGTAAGTTGCAAGGGAGAACCATTTTAGGCTTAATTGAAGTGGGGTGAAGTGGAGTAGTAGTGAGCAGTTGGGTTTTATGGTACATTGTTAGAAAGGTCCTTGCGATGAAAAGAAAGGGCTGTTTGTTGACCATAGTGGTGACGAAGGTGGACACCATGATTGGATCTGCGTCTTTTCTTTTAGCCTAGCTCTGGAGAGATGTGATGAGTGAGAGTTTTGCTTCAGAGAAAGCCACAGCCAAAATCTGCTCCAGTTGAATTGGAACTCCTCAGAGTCCAGTGGGATAAATTGCGTGTCTTATGCAGGCTGGATGGAAAGTACTTGGCTGCCCGCATGAGGAGGTGCCAGGCGCAACAGGGCGAGAAGAGGCCAGCTAAGCCTCAGCTCGGTCTTCCATGCTCCTTGTTAGTGCGTACCTTGAGCTAAGAAGACAGACTCTTCTTCCTCCTTTTGCTGTACCTAAGACCTGCTCTTAAAGACCTGGGACACAGTGTATTTGAACTAGAGGCTCTTTAGGGCTATAAATATACATAATAAATGAGTTTGTTTTAAAGTGAAGCTCTAGGGGCTGCTTCAGTCCCCAGTTTAAAAACAAAACGGAACAAACAACAACAACAAAAGACCTCTGGTTAGAAAAAGAAAAAGAAAAATAAAATAGCCAGCAAAGTTTTTCTTTTTTTCCTTTTTTTTAACTTGTGGATGGTTGAGACTATGAGATTCTTTTTTATCTTCTTTCTAAATATTTGTGTAATTGTTCTGGTTATCAATTTATTTTCTGTAAGATCCTAATTTATTCTAGGATTGTTCTTATGTATTGATGCCTTGAGAGAGCTAGTAAATAATGGTTTTCAAAGCTAAGTGTAAATAGGACATTTGGCTTTGTCTCCTCTGTCGAATGCCAGGCGACGGAGTGCTAGGAGTTGGTTCTACTTAGTAACTGCACCTAAGCCTGAACTCTGGGGAAATTAAAAATAAGGTTTTAAAGGCCAGGCTGGAATATGTAATGTGGTGCTCACGGTGCTAGCGTGCCCCCCAGCACCATCCTCCGTGTTGGGCTAGAGGCTGAGCTGGGCCACGGGAGAGTACCGTGTGTTGAGGTGGCCACTGCCCCTACCAGCCTCCCGCATCCACTGCCTCTGTGGTCTGCTCTGATTTCATTTCCGAGGATTTTTGTCCTCTCTGTCTTTCTCTTTTTCCTTTCCATGGCTGTCCCGTTTTAAGTCTCATCTTTGTCCTCTTCATGTCACTTGCTCCCTGGGTCATCCAGACTCCCGTACTTCTTTCCCCAGTTCTATCCCCAGTTGTTCCATCCAGAAACCTCAGTTACTTTACTCACTTACTTACTTTTCTTTTGACGACAGAGTCTCTCTGTATAGCCCAGGATGGCCTTGGTCTGGCCGTGTAGCTCATCCTGGCTTTGAACCAGCTGGGCAGCTCAGGCTGGTTTCGAGTGCTGGGGTTACAGCTAAGTGCCGCTGTGTCTGGCTCCCTCTGCTCTTGTTTCCCCTCAGCTCTTGATATAGGAATCTGAAATTCCCAATCTGGCCTGGATGAGTTCATGTTCTCTAAAACCGAAGAATGAATTTTAGGAACAAATGGAGGTTGAGGGTAAAACTTTATTGGAAAGGAAAGCTTCTGTCGGTGAGGCACAGAAGGGAGACCTGAGCAGGTTGCCCAGGAAGCTGTGTCTTTCAGATTATTTTTATAGGGCAAAACCATGTGGGGCTGAGATAGAGACAAAGGGGTTACGCTTAGGCAGATACAGGGTGGGACTAAACTATGATCAACAAATGGGATTACAAGCACCATTGCTCAGGTAAAATTGATTAGGCCCAGGACCAAATGGGGTAGCGAGTCACGTAGCAAGCAGGCATGAATGTAAAACAGGACCTTATCGGGAGGCCTTCAGACCATAATTCTTCCTGAGTAATGATCAATCCTGGATGCCGGTCTTTAGGTTCAATTTATAGCAGGGACCTCCATCCTTCCCACAGTTGTGAGGCGCCTGGCTGTTGTCATTTCCTTCGAGGGGCAGGCCCTGTGTGACTGCTTATAATTTTGTATCTAACCCAGACTGCCTGCAACACTCTCAAGTCTGGTCTGTCATCCACCCTTGTCAGTTTTTTGTTCCTAATAGCCCATCTGGAACTCAGCCATTCTGCTGGGCCTGAGCTCGGGCTGGACTGTGCTCTGAGAACTGCCTGCTGCTGCTCTGGAGCCCATCATCCTTTGTGCCCAGCAGCTCTCTTTGCAGTGGATCCAGATCTTGGTCCTCTTCAGTCTTTTAAGGGTTCTCCATCTCCTTCGAGTACAAGCCATGCTCTGTGCTTGCTCCTAAGACCTCACCTGCCTGCCCCCAGTTGCCTCTCCGCTCTCATCTTTGGCGCCCCTGGTGGCTCAGGCTTTCCCAGAGACACTGGCACCTCCGCAGGACACCTCCACCCCTACCTCCAGCAGCACCTCACCCAAACGCCTGTACATGGCTCAGCCCCCATTCCTTCTAGCCTTACTCGTAAAATCATAGGGGCTTTCCTTGGCCACTGGATCTTAATTTTTTCTCCCTCCCTATTGCATGTCCACTTCTGTGTTTATCTTTCATGAATACTTAACACTGTTGTACACACTGTTGTACATTTGCTTATTCTTATTGCTGTTTGTTTTCTCATTCTTCCACTAGAATGTAGACCCCGAAAAGGTGAAAGTCTCATCTGCCTTGTTTCTTGCTGCATGCTGAATAGCTAAAGCAGTGCCTTGGGGCTAGGCTGCGGCCTGGAGCGGAGCCCTTGCCTAGCATGGCCAAGGCCTAGGGTTCCTCAGCCCCAAAGAAAGAAAGCAATACATTGGCGGTTTTCTCCCTCATTCTCCCTTCTTCTTTCTGTGCTTTCTCCCTCCCTAGTTACCACCCTTTTCTTCCCATGTTTAATTGCCACTAACTTCTGTATAGTTTTTCTTTTCAACAAAAATAATCCTTAAATATATTAGTATATCTTTATGTAAGGCCTTTCTTAGAACATTTTTAACATAATAGACTTTGGACTTTGTGGAACAGTCTTTTCATGTATTTCCTTGAAGTGAGTTCCCTAGATGTGTTGTGGAATAACATTTATTTTTTTTTTAGAGGCTTCTCATGTAGTAAATACATTGAGGGAAAAAGAAAGATGGCCTTCACAATGACAGGTCCTGGCTTCCATAAAAGGCATCAGGGTAACAAGACACAAGTAGATCTCTTACTTCAGTGGTAGTATTCATTGCAAAGCCTAAATCAAAGAGACCACCGGCGTTGGCAGGCATGGTGGTCACAGCAGTCTTATGGCTCAGGTGAATTTGTGAACGTACAAGCCCACGGATTCATGGAGACTGTCTCCTTGTTTCCAGAAGTTATGGACAGAAACATCAGTACGTAATGCTAGCGATTTAGATGTAAAAACCAGCCCTTATTTTTCATCTGCTTTGAGTCTCAAGTTAGCTTCGTCTTGCTGTGGTGAAAGGTGCAGTGGTTTGCACTTCTCGTCTTGGTGTCTAAGCGTGGTTTCCCAGCTTTGTAGTTTCCTGTCAGAGGCAGAGGTTATCTCAGGCGAGGAAGAACAGCGTAGTTACTGAGCTCTTCAGCTGTTTCCTATGATTTAAAAAAAAACCACTTTCTGTCAAGTTAGATATAAAGTAATAGAAAAATAATGGCTTTTATGCATGTTATTTGAAATCACTCATAAATAAAGGCCTCTCACCAAATGAATAGGCCTCAAATACTTGTAGCACTTTTTCCTGCATTGAGAGTAGGGTGCTGCAAGCATTGGTGTTCCCGCCTGGCCTCTCTGGTGCCCGCCGGCTGGCAGGTGTCACCGGCTGCTTCTGTGAGCTCCCCTCCGGTTGTCATTTTTGTTGCTGACCATGCGCCATGCTTTTCCGCCTTTTTACCCGAACACAGTTTGAGCCTCCTGGCTGTGTTCTCCACTCCCAGTTAATTTTCATATTTCATCTTCAACATGTTAGTTTGGAAAGTGCGTAATGTCGCCCCGTGTGAATATGGCGAGTTGGCCTGGTGTGGCCAGGGCAGTGCACGCCACGCAGCCAGCCGTGTCCTCCCCTCTGGAGCTCACGGCATCGCTGCTCCTCCTCCAGGCCTTCTCAGGCCCGGCTGGAGCGCTCGCCCCGTCCCACTCGCTCTGGGTTTCTCTGCTCGGTAGCTTAGCGCCTGCTCTGGCCTTTTCCCCTTGTAGAAACTGTCTCTGTGTCCTGCCGCTCCTTCTGTGCTGCTGCTGCTGCTGCTGCTCCCCCGGCCGCTCCTCTTCTCCTGAGCCTCGGCGAAGCTTTCTCCAGCTTTGGGCTGCCCTGCTTCTGCCCTGCTTTCCTTGGTGGTGATCTTGCCCTGTGTGTCGCCGGGTCCCCCTGCCCCGTCCCCGTGAGCACCCAGCACGCACTGCTCCTTGAGCTGGAGCAGCAGAGCACCTCAGTGCCCCAGGCCCGTGCACATGCCTTCAGTCTAGGGCACGTGCTTCTGTCACCAACATTCAAATTACGTTGACAATTTGCCATATGAAAAGTTTTGGCAGTTAAGACTACTTTAGGCTTCATTTCTGGCAAACTTGTGTGCAGCAAATCATTATGCAGAGAAACGTCTCTGCTGAAGTTTGTATTTCCTGACGGGAAGGTATTTTAAGAAATGAGGGAAATACACTTTCCAGTGCTGTGGACCGTGGAGCTGTATTAAATTCGTTGTCCTGTTATAGTTGTATTTTAGGGTATGGACAGTTAATGCTTGTCTGGCCTGTACTGAAAAATTTAAAGCTTTGTAACACCAAAGCATATTTATTCCTGAAATATTGTGTGGGTTAATTTCTTGTTGAGAATGCTGATTGTGTAGCCATGCAGGAATCTTCTTACTGAGCTTTTTAAAGGGGCTGTTACTTGGTGCTTAGGTAAATCTCTCTGGAGACTGGATCATGAGTTCTTGGAGTTTGTGGGATTTTTCGAAATTATTGACCTTGCTTTTCATATGCACCTACTGTAAGTGGCTCTCCCTCCTCCTCCCCCACTGGCTTACCCAAGCACAAGTCACTCCTAGCTCTGCAGGGAGCTGTGGTCTCGGCCTTCAGTCCCGCGCCGAGATGGTCAGCAGCCCCGGGCTCCGTTGAAGTCTCATGTCACTTCTCTCTCTCCTCAGCTCATGACCTTGAGAGGGTCTGTCCTAGAAGACGCCATTCCCTCCACGGCAAAGCACTCGAGCGCCAGAGGGCTGCCGCTGAAAGAGGTGCTGGAGCACGTGGTCCCCGAGCTCAGCGTCCAATGCCTGCGCTTGGCCTTCAACACCCCCAAAGTCACGGAGCAGCTCATGAAGCTGGACGAGCAGGGGGTGAGTATGGCTGTGCAGAGGCGGGTCCTGCTGTCGCTCACCTGTGCCGGGTAAAGAGACTCTGCCTGCACTCATGAGAGTTGCAGGTGTCTGGGAGTCAGTCTTCACAGTGATCAGAGCAGTGATAAATGTGATGCTGTTCGTGTTAATCCTTAAAAACTATGCTCTACTGGGTGTGGTGGTGCATACCTATAATCCCCGCACTCAGGAGCCTGAGGCAGAAGGATTGCTGTGAGTCTGAGGCCAGCCTATACTCCACTGTGAGACCCTGTCTCAAAACCCCCGAAAACCCATAACTTGAAATATTAGGAATTTCATTATCTAGTCAGCTCATCTTTTTAATTACATGGCCAATGCAGCTACTTTTTAATTGGCTGTTTCCACCACTTTTCAGTACTTACTTTAGAAGCACATCTGTCTCATCTCTGTACAAGGAGAATAAAAGGTTAGCATGTCAAGCCCTATCTTAACCTGCCAGAGGTTGTGGTCTAAAAATTTTCAGTGGGGATCCTGCATATCTGAGAGACACTGCATTGCTAGTCCGTGCTAAAATGAGAAAAATAAATAAATAAACACCGCAGATTTGCACTTATTGTATGTAGATAGTACAATTTTAACTTATTTTCATTTATAACCTAGAACTTATTAAATATGGAAATGTTTCCCAGAGTTTATGGCAGCAGTCCTGCATAGTATGCTATTGATCGTCTCACTGTTGTGTAACCCCCGGCTTGGCTTCAGCGTTAGGGCCTGACATCAGTTACACACAAGTGTGGCTACTTGTGACCTTTTTTTCCCCCAAAGTTTCAATTGTACTTTATTTCTTCAGTAGGCCATATTTTAGTGGATACTCAGCGCTTTTACTTGGCACCAATTGTGACTTATTTAGCAATAATTTAGCTGTATCAGATCAGCTGGCGTGATTACTGATCTCTCCATTCCTTGGGGTGCCTCTGCCAACAGGAGGAAGGTTCCGTCTTTTCCAGTTTGTGTTGCTGTGTAGGTCCATGCAGCTATACAGAATGCGGCTCCGCCAACTGGGATAGCATCACCATACTTGTCACGGAAACCAGGTGTACGTTGTGGTGGCTCTGCCTTGCTGCCATTTGTTGAATGCTTCTGACTGGAAGCTTTTTAAAGGGACTGTTGCTCCACTGACCGTGGAGTTGAAGTTGAAGCTGTAGTCACTGCAGCTGCTGGCTCAGTGCACAGGACTTCCAGATACCCTTGCAAAGAGCAACTTGTAACCCTGAAGCTGTGCACCAATACACATAACGATACCAAGACGTGAGTGATTGTGTCTCAGCTAAACCAGGACTCCAGAGGCTTATGGTATTCACACTTGTGTAATAATACAATGCTGAGGACGTGGAAACATGCAGGAAGTGTTAGCTGTTGCTGATAACTATGGTAACTGCTAGCCCCTTCACGTGCTGCCTCATCATCCTATAAACAGGGCCCAGGAGATAGTTCAGTAGAATAAGCACTTGCCTGGCAAGCTCAGGCCCCTGAGTTCAGTCCCCGGTACCGCAAAAAAAAAATCCTTATAAACAGCCCAGGAGAGATGCTGCAGATAATATTCTGTGCTTTCCAAATATGCCTGACTGTCTCAAGTGTAATGAACGTTTTTGAGTACCGAAAATGGACTTTACACTCTTTAAATACTCTAGAGGATAAATAGGCTAGTAGAGGTGAAAGCCAAAGGAAGCAAGTTGCGAGTGATCACAGAGTTGGCATGAGAGTCACCTTGGGGAGAAGAGGACTTCTTGGAGCCTGCCAGTAAGGAGGGTAGGCGAGACTCAGGACAGGAAGAACAGAGTGCAGAGGAGAAAAGCACTGTGTACTCACGGGGCAGCGAGGGTTCTGGCGGGCAGGCGTGCACAGCACATACAAGAGAGTGATAGAAGGTGATTTGGGTTAGCAGTGCTGTTGGGAGCCGGGAGTGCGTTCTCAGGGGTCGTGTTAGTGAGTCCGTCAAATCCTGCCATGTAGGGCCCCTTATTTTTCATGTTTCACACACCGGTGCAGCAGGGCACACAGAACTTGCTCCAGTTGGGATCTGTGGAGCCTGGTCGTGAGCCCAGGCACAGGACTACCCAGCCCACGCTCTTAGGCAGTGGGCTCCATGCCCCTCCGCCGCCCGCCCTGAGTGGCTGAGAAGCTGTGCACTGGTGGCTCAGGTCTCTCCGATGCAGGCTTCAGTGCCCAGTAGTAAGCATGATATGTTAAACTCCAATAAAATTGAAGCTGGCTTTTAAATACTTAAATTACAATTGCCAGTTTGCAGTAGAGAAAATAGGCTGGGCTGTTTCTATGAAGAAATTTTGTGTTTCATGCTAGTGGTTTGCCTGAAAGATTATCTTTATTTTTCTAAATATTTAAAATGCATCAAATGAAAACATTTACTAGATTTTCAGTTTTTAAAAGTTAGCCTTTAGATGATTGTACTTCCAGTCACAGGAAAAGTAATTTGAGTTCGATCTGCGGCACATGTCAGAGGGACGAAAGGCAAACAGCAGCGCTGTCTTGGGGACGCATAGTGCTGCTCTTCCCAGGAACGTGAATGGGATTCTCTGACTTCTCCTACTCTTTGCCATATTGCACGATTTTGTGAGGATAAATGAGTTTGGCGAGTCACTTTCTTTGATTTAGGGAGCTAATTTTGAAAGACGACCCATAGGGGAAACGTTCTTTCTAAAACCTGTTTCTGTGAATGGCAGCTTGGCAGGATCACAGGCATCTGCAGATCCTCAGTCTTCCTTCAGAGTAGGTCAGTGGTGATGCCTGTTCCAAGCCCAGATGGCTGTCAGGCTGGCCCTGGGCGGCTTGTAAGCCTGGATGTGCGGTCCCAGGGAGGAAGCACGCGTGGCTACCATCAGTTAGGCAAGGAAGGCAGCGGGGCAGCCGTTGGTCCCCTCTTGCAAGCAGTGACTCTGCTGGGCCTTCCATGTGCTTTTAAAATAAAAAGTTAGGGCCAGCCAGCCAGCTCAGCAGACTAAAGCACCTACTTAGGCAGACACAGGGACCTTGCTGGCTCTGCCCCTGGGGTGCACTAAGAGGGCCATTGAGACTGGGCGTGGTGGCGCACACCTGTAATCCAAGCTCTTGGGAGGCTGAAAACAAGAGGATCGCTGAGTCCAATCTGTGTAGAGAGACCCTGTAGACCCTGTACGAAATACTTTTTTTTAAAAAAAGTTAAACTAGTTTACTGCAGAGATTTGAATAGCTAATACTTTTGAAAGGTCCAAAAGTCAAAACAACATGACTGGTTTACATTGAGAAGTCTCATTTCCACCCCTTTTGTATTATCGCCCTCTCTGCTGACCCATTAGATGCAGCATTCTTAGGTGTCCTTGTTCAGATAATGCCAATGTGTATGTGCAGATTTATTTCTGTGCCATCTTACACGGAATATAGCTGCTGTAGACCCTACCGGTTTTACAATGTATTTTGGAGCTCTTTTTGTGTCACCGAATAGAAAGGGTTCCCATGATTTTTTACGGCTGCGTAGTATTCCTTTGTATTGCTTAGTTCACTTGACTCCACCATTTGCTCTTCTGATGGGCAGTGGGGTTGATTGCAATTTTTATTATAAAGTAACGCAATAGGGTCTTTCCCGTGTAATTGAAGTTCATCTCCATGACCTAACGAATTAAGCATGTATTACCAATTTAATGCCTCTTAAGAAGCTTTTTTATTTTTGTGAGAAATTTGCACAACTTATTGTTAGGTGAGGTTATTATGTGTGTAGAATATTTCCCGTACATTATGCCAAAGATAAAAATAAATTAGAGTGTCTGCACATACATATAAATAGTGTGAAAATATCTGTCAATTAAAAAAACACGAAACTTATGCCCAGAATCCATATGTCATTTTCTAAAGCAGTTAGATTTTTGTTAGTAATTTCCAGTGTGGATATGATTTCAATTTAGCATTTATGCTCGCAGAAGTGACTTTTTTCCAGTTTTTTTTTGTTGTCCTTGAGGACAATACAGAGATTTATCCTCAAGAAATAGTTAAAAGTTATGCTTAAGAAGACCAAAGTAAATGCTGCCAAAGTATGATTCAGATTTAAAGACAAAAGACCAAAGCCTTCACTTCTGCTAAGAACAGAGGAGCTTGTCACACTGAAGGTAATGGAGAAAGCTTGGACGATGCAGCTGCAGGCTGAGCGGGAGCCGTGGCTTCTACACGGGCGGGCTCCGTGCGTTTGGCCAGCCACATTCTTTTTTGCTTTGGGCAGCTAGTTTTGAACAGTGATGCCTGCGGGGAGCCCTCTTTCCAAAGCTAGTGTACCTCTACCTGGCCTGCCTGGGGCTCAACAGACGCCAGTAGGGCTTCAGAACCTGTGCTCCTGCTTTTCCTTTTCTTCTTGCCTGAGACAGCCAACACTCCTGGGCAGTAAGTAGAAAACAAAAAGAATCCCAAGTGTGACGGAGCAGCAGACTGGCCGGGAGCCTGCCCCTGAGCAGTGGTGCGGTGCTGAGGTATCCAGTGCGCTTTTTTGCTCTTCTATCCTAACTTTCGCACCAGAGAAGCCAGCATGCTGGAAATCCCAGTAAGCCAAAAGCCCTCTATGGTCAAACATAGGGGCAGAAAACTTCTACAGAACAATCTGTGTACTCCACCTGAGTACCACAAAAACAGCAAAGAGCTGCAGCTGCCTGCCGCCCTCCTGAGTCCCTGCTAGAGAGGGCCACTGAGGAGCAGGAGCTTCCCCTGTGTGCAGTGGTGTTGACGCCCCGCCCCCACTCCCTCTGGTGGCATCAGAGGAGGCGAGTGCAGGCAGGACTGCAGTGCAGGCAGCAGTCGCGGGCCTCCAGCCCTCCTGCTGAGTCGGTGAGGGTGAGGATCACACGGAGCATGAGAGTAAGGCACCTCTGCCTGGTCAGCAGAGCCTTGCAGGGGACTGGAGGCCCCGGAGATGGCGCAGTAGAACACCCGCTCGCCTGGCAAGCAAAAGGGCCTGAGTTCAATCCCCGGTTCTGCCAAAAAAA